GGGGTGGGGGGAAGTTTGGTGGAGTTAAAAGGGTTTGGGGGGGGGGGTTTTTTGGACAAAAAAATCTTTGGGGGGGGGGGGGAGGGGAGGGTTAAAATTGATGTTTTGCTCGTGGCACAACGTCTCCGCAGTTTCACAGGCAGATAGCGGTGGTTGAGTTGAGAACCCAAGCCCCGTTTTAACACTGCAAGCACGTTTGCCGCTCGTTACATGTAGACAGACCTCATGAACGAGTTGGCGTTTCGCAGGCGTCCGTCGGGTGTCCTTCCGTCCGTTGTTGTGTTGTTTGCTTGTCTGAATGGCCACATGCTTATGCAAAGCTGACCGCTGTATGAATTCGAAGCTGTGTGGCGGTCTCGTTGTTGGCTTGTTCCTGTTAAGTATGGCAAAGTGGTCGGCCCTTGCGCAGGCTCATATTCGATGCTTGCTTCGTACTTATATACCCGTGGCCAATGATCCAACAAGCGACACGGGGCCCCCCATCTCGCTCAAGAGGAAAACGTCTTGACAACAACCCCCCGTCTGTGTGCTGGTGTTTTCACCCTTCCCACGCGATCCCAACCCGAAAGCTTCCTCGGGGCAGCAACATCCGCAGCAACGGCTCTCCTCCGGCGGCGGTGGCTCGGTCGCGCCGTCCCCCGTCAGCAGCTGCGGCGGCCGCGCGCCCCCGTCGGTGGCGTCCTCGCCGGCGGGAAGCGGTGGAACCTTTACCGGTTCGGGGGGGCGTGGGCGGCCTCTCAAGGACGTGATCGTGATGGCGGCCTGCGGGGAGGACGAGGTGCTGCCGACGAACGCGGACCTCCCGGCGGACGTGTTCACGTGCTGCCTCACGACCCCCATGCCGATGGCCCTGCGCTGGTTCATTCGCCAGAACAAGGTGTGTGCATATGTCGGGGGGTGGGTTGTTTGTTGTGTTCTGTTACCCCGCAGTTGGCATACAGTAGAAGAGTAGAACTGCATACTCGGTGAAATTCGAAATGGTGTTAGCATTGCATTGCGAGGGTCGAAGCGGCTATGGATATGGGTAACGTTTATTTTGTTTTACTTGGTCGGGGGGCGTCATTGTTCAGAGCGGGGGTGGCGTCAAGTGTGCCCTGCTTTGCAATCAATACACTGTACTGGCTTACGCTCTTTTCGTTGACGTTTGCCTGTCCTTCTCCCCCCTCTCTGTCACCGCCGATACACGAAACAAAATACTACCTGTGAACAAAACTAAATTTTGCGAAGGACCTATCGATGAGCGGCGTAGACCCGGAGTGGGTGGACAAGATCCCGGGGAGCCTCGGCAACAGGCTGACGCCTCTGGGAGAGCTGGAATGGATTTTCACGGCCATCATGGACGCCATCGCTTGGAGCACGCTGCCGCTGCCTCTGTTCCAGAAGCTCTTCCGGGGGGACCTTCTGGTGGCCAAGCTCTTCCGGAACTTTCTTCTGGCGGACAGGATTCTGAGGTGAGCGGGCTGCACGAAGGCACCGGTCGAGAAAAGAGTGCCAGGGGGGGGGGGGCCG